GAAAAACAAGTAGATAGAATAGAAAAAATAGAAAGCTAGTGTTTGTTTGTTTTTTGTTGTTTTTTTTTTATAAAAAATAAAAAAAGAGAAATATAGATAAAGTAGAATTAAAATAGAATAGAAAGTGCTAGAGTTAGAGGGTGGATGACTGGATTATGGACCTTATATGACTGGTTTTGGTTTATGTGGCCTAACTGACTTTAATAAGTTATAATAATAAGAAAATACTACAAAATACTAACATTTAAGACTAGCCGAAGCACAGGTTTAATTGTATACATTTATTTTAAAGACATTTTTCGATTTATTAGACATTTATTCGAAAATTATTTTTAATAAAATCCTACTTCACTAACGATAAATCAGTTTTACGCGAGATTTATAAATTAGTTTTAATCGAGAATATCACCTAAGAAACGTTTAACGGCGTTTTCAATAACCGCGGAAGTAAGAATGCGTAGTTTTTACGCGGCTGAAATCGTGGTCGCGTGAGCAGGTAACCATAGCAACAGCAGCCGTTGGCGCTTTTCCGTTACGATCAGTATCGAGCAGAACACCGACGAGACTGCTTTTCTCTTAAAAGTTATAACGGTTTAAAGAAGTTGCTCCCCTGAAAGCGGCAGACTTTAGCCCGGTTTCAGCGGTCAGCGGCGGGAGGAGGAGCTCATACAAATGCGCGTCCAGCGGCGCTCCGCGTTAAACGCACGCAGGAGGAGATGAAGACGCACCTGAAGACGAGCTCCGTGTGTCTGTGTCTGCAGGTACACTCGATATCTCCCCTCTTCTCCTCTTTTCTGGAACATTACATCCCTTAAATATCTTTTCTGGCTTCTTTCTCTTGCTGTCAGTGAATTACCGCGCTGTTTAAAGCCTCTGGAGTGGTGGGAACTTTCACACACCGTTGTGTTTTACTCACATCTGTCAAAGCTTCATCGACTAGCTTTAGCTTGATCTCTTGCGTCAGTTCGTTTTTTAAGATATGTTTATAACACAACTGAGCGAATCACACACCGAATGTCACTGAAACTAAACTCACACCGATCTCAGATCAACGCATTTAACTTACAGTCTGATCCGTGTCTTTCCCCCTTTCTCTCGAGTATGTTTTTATACATGCGTTTAGAGTCACAAATTGTCCTCAGAAGTGAGATACATCTCCATTTGGGGACATTTAGAAAATTATTTATGCATACAATTAAATTCAATTCTAAAAATGCTGTTTTCGTGTAGTGTTATAGCTATACAAATCAATAGAAATTTAAATAACTGGATAAACAATCAGACAAATTCAACAATCTTTGAGAGAAAAATAGGTCAGTAGTTAACAGTGATACACACTAGTCTGTGATCAATAAAACAGCTTGGCTTTTTGCTGAGCGCTTCGTATAGAGCTGGAATTAGAGACTACACTCACTGAAACACAATACACACACACACACACACACACACACACACACATGTAAGTTAGACCTTTACTGCATTCACTGATTTTATTGTGATTAATTTAATATGACAAAATATGGCAACAGGAAACGGAGCACGAGAATAATAACTACAAAAACTAAACTATAACTAAAATACTTGCTTGTACAAAGCCATTGATAATAAATCGACCTGAACTTGAGAATAACATACATTGACAACCTTTACATTTCAATTCTAAATATGAATCTGCTTTACTTGGACAATTTTGTTTTTGAACATATCTAGAACTTGTTTTAAATTAATCAGTGCATTATCATGTGCCGCTTGTTTTCTCAGAGCAGAGGCAATTAAATCTAGAGATATCACACTAGCACAATATCAGCGTTTGATATCAAACCCTGTGTAACATAAGACCAGACCTTAATAAGCATTCCAAAGGGATTGTACGCAAATCATATGGATTAGGTTCGTGGATGAATGACCTTTAATTCCACGTTTTTCAATTAAATTACTGTATGTTCCTGAACCCCAGAGACATCAATCATCGACTCTGTATCAGCCACACGCTGATGACGACGACAGAGTTAAAAAAAAGCACATTCAGATTCTCTCACAAGTATTTTTGCGCTCATGTTTGTATTGTTATTGGCTTGTTGTGTGTCTGTATGAACTGCATGCGCACATTTACAGGTATCCATATATTGAATTGCTTGTCAGAGAAATGAGAATATTTATTATAGTTACAGGGAACACAGAGGTTATTGCTCTTTTTTTAACAGTGTTCCGATGGGACGACATAAGTGTTTGATTTACGCTCATTCTGTCTGTTCTTTAATGCATGAGCATTCAGACTCTGGTTTCTCACTGAATGCATTGGGTTTGAGTTTTGAGGCTTGCAGTGAGTCCTGTGATGATCAATAGGGCTCGTGTGATGTTTTAGTATTGATTATGGAAACGCGAGCCGCTGAATAGAGCAGGGCGGGGTTCAGGAGTCATGTGGGATCAAACGCATATGTCGACCAATAAAAATGCACAAATCAGCTAACATCTGAATGATGGAGATTCATCAAAGTGATTTATTTTGCAATGCATATCTGTTACCCAGCATGCTTCAGCCGCCATGTATGTGTGTGTGTTTTGTGGATTTGTGACACTCAGGCAGCTGTTCAAACTGGCCACTTGTCATGTGTGTGCTTTCGCTATGGCACTCTTCTGATTCTCTGCTTATGAAATGCAATAGAGTAGCAGAGGAGCGTGAGCGATATCTGCATTCTCTGAATTCTCCAAGGCTTGAGCAACACCGAAACTCTGGTGATTGTAAAGCTTCGCGCCCCAAAGACAGACAGCGATTTTATGCTTCTGAGTGTCCAGTCTTTGACTTGCGACTTGAAACAGTCCAGCACTTGCTCTCAAATGTTCAAATTATTTAATGAAGTAGACAAATTTTAAAGTAGGAAAAATAAAAAAATTGAAGGAATCATCAGCGTGATTGTTACTGCATGTCAGATTTGTCAAATGCATCTCTCCTGTTTTTAATGTTTCATTTCACATAACATAAAAACATTGTCATTTTAACCAATGCATGCATATTTATATTTTAATTTTATAAAAAAAAACATTTCTTTTTAAACTTACAAAATAATAAAACAAATGGATCAAAAGTAAATTATAACTTTGATAATGTTACTGTAACATTGCCACTTACGTTTTGCATCATTTTTTCATAAAAGTGGACTTCTGAAAATTATTTTATTTATATACACATATATATATACATGCTTTTGAATATCATTTTGCATTTAACACAATAAGTAGATGAGCACTAGTTTATTAAACATTTTTTTTATGTTAATCCCCCCCCCCCCGCCCCCTGAGGCAGCAGCCAACAGCAGCTGTTCCATATTCATCAAGCTCTTCAGTCTTAAAGAGGCCGACACTGAGCATGCAAACACTCATTTCTGCCTCTCCGCTGCTCACACACTCATCGTAGCGCACTCTCCTGCCTCCTCGCTCGCGCTCTCTCTCTCTCTCTTCGCTTCACCCCGACCAGCCCCCTCCCCCCCACTCTCACACACACACACACACACACACACATGCGCACCTGAGGCTTTTGAATATCATTTTGCATTTAACACAATAAGTAGATGAGCACTAGTTTATTAAACATTTTTTTTATGTTAATCCCCCCCCTTTTTAGAAAAAAAAATGCTTTTGAATAACATTTTACAGTTGCTTTAATATATATTTAGTGTTGTATGAAATATTTTTTACTTTACATTTGTAATTTCACATTAGTAGTTTAAAAAAATGTTTTTTTGTATAACATTTTACAATTAACACAATAGGTAGATGACAACAGATTTTTCAAACTGTCATTGTAAATAACAACCCTGTTCTAAAATAAACAAAACAAAAAAGAATAATCTAGGATAATAAAAGGTTTCCCCCTCAGATAGGATAAATCAGTTGTGTTTTATCCGTGTGGTTTCATATATATTTGCTTCAGTCTGTTGTAAAGGTTGGCTGCTTGTGTGTGCGATGTCTGTGAGAGTATTTCAGCACACTGCACATCAGCCCCGGCCCCTGCTGTTTTCCCCCCCCCCCCCCCCGGGAATGCTAAAACTGGGCTGATGGACATTTCCGAACTTTGCATCCCTGATCCTCTCAGCTATCATAACCAGTAGGTGCATCTTCCTCTTTCACGCACTAATACCGCTTCAGCGTCTGTCTGTCTGTTTTTCTTCTTCTTTGCATGTCGATAGTACAGTTTTCTTGCACTGGCTGAAATTACTGCTGCTGCGATAGGGATGCGCTTTCATCTGCATGGACACAGTGTTACTTTCCACTCAAATTTATGTTCCTAATGTCAGCAGAGTGAGGTTTAGAGACGCTTCTTTTCTTCTGCTTCAGTGTAGGTTGTTTGTTTTGTTGTAGTGTGTTGCGTGACGCATGCGTCCCAGCGTTTGGACGCTCCTCTAGAGCCACTTGTGTTTGGAAACAAGTCTGAAGGGTTCAGGCGGGACAAAAGGCACAGGACGGATGTTTGTTTATTAAATGAATGAGAGAGGATGCGGTGAAAGAAAGGTTGAAGGGGTCCAGGTTTCCCGGGGCCGTCTGAGATCACAGGAATAATGCGCTCGCTTTAGAAAGACTAGGAAGATGCAACTTACAAAGATGTTCTCTTATTTTTCACCAAAATAAAGCTGCTTTGACTTTCATGATTTTTTATAATTCTGCATGGAACACTTTTTCTCCAAATTATCTTGATGCACATCTTTATTTTGCATTTGAATATTATTGTTTTACACAGGGTTTTTAAATTATCTATTGACATGAACGGACCTCTGTTCTAATTTAAAACAGCAACTTTTAAAATCAACCCGTAAATGTTTGCGTTGTGCTTGGATTATTATATATATATATATATAAAAAATACATTTTAAAAGATTGACCAAAAAGCGTAATGTGTGTTGATCCACCATTGGATTTTTGGATATGGATTTTTTTATTTACTCTCAGTAACATGTCACACCAGCAGCTCTGACATGGGCCGAATGCAGACTGTCTCTGTGTGTGTGTGTTTTGGGTGAATTAGACTAGATTACAGTCTGCACACTTTAGTCATCTTAAAAACACACATATTCTAAGCTGCTTTGTAGTTTTACACTAAAACGGATTACAAAGGTTCAATAGAGCTCAGCTGCCCTGACACCTCCACGCATGCATTTCCACAGTCGCGTTTGCATTAGAAAACCTTTATTTAGAATTAGTTCGTCTCAAATGCGTTTAAAACATTTATATTTAAAATTCATAGTTTTATTAAGAGCAACTCGTTTTGTGCAAATTATTCTAGCTCCACTGAAAATTTACAATCTGAAATAGTGTAAAACTACAGTGAGCTTTTCTTTAGTGATACTTTATTTAGTGATTTAATTATTATGAAGAGTTTTTAAAATGTTTAATAGATACAAAATATTTTTTCTTGATTTATTTCTCTGTCATTAAATACACATCTCATAAATTTGAGCATCACTGCTGGTTTGTTGCTTAAACACCATCATGTTACACTTTTATTTGACCTACTGTTAATGTACCAAATTATTTTAGTGTAGTAGTGATATAATTCTATCTCTTAATCTCTTTGCATAGAAAATAGTAAATAACCTTTTTTATTATGAATTAAAAAATGTTAACACACATCTGCTGATGCATTTCAAATTTAATATTAAAATAGAGTGTTTTATGTGTGTGTGTGTGTGTGTGTGTTTGGAATTGAGGAACCTGTTTTAGGTTTTTGACTGGCCTTATTGTGCATCTATAAATTCATTGTTTTATTAAAAAATCCACTTAATTTAATTTTAGTCCAAAAATATTTCAACAAGTGTTGTTGAAGTAATTCAATAAAATGTGTGTTTTACATTTTAAAATGAGCATGAAGAGTATTGTCAGCGGCTGGCTGCGGCTGTTCATTTACTGATGGGGTTGCATGTGTGTGAATTGAGTGTGTGTCACACACACTGTCCTCAGATGCACCGCAGCACTGGATTCACAGCGAAACGCCACCGGTTAATGTTTACTGGCACGTGCAGTGAGATTGATGCTGCTTTTGTTTGTAAACTGCATGCTTCAGTATTCATGTGTAGATCCGAGGCATTCGGAACTTTGACGTCTTCTTTACTCAGCTGGGATATTCAATATGACCCGGAGCGAACACTGACTAGACGTATTCTCGCTCATTGCGGCCTCATTTCAGGCTCTCGGTCGGGATGACAGCTGGATTACTTTCGTATGCAGAAAACCTCCATAAGCACGGCCAGACAAATTAAATTGAACAATTGTTTGACTTCATTACCGAGTTGGCAGATCCAGCGCATAAAGCGCGTATCTCCGGCGTTTCCGTTTTCCCTCTTCCGTTTTATCGCATTAGGTTTGGAAAAAAGCAGCTGTGGGAATTGCATTAGTGCATCTTAAGTTAAAAGCTCGGCGGTCTTTGAGCAAGTGTTTCAGTGCTGTTGGGTTAATCAGATTTTTGCTGTCTGTGAGGAGATGCTATCGCGGGGTAACCAAAGCAGCCGGCTCTGACACTATCCAGATGGGATCAGCTTACAGTAATTTGGTTTCAGAAAACATTACTCACACAGATCCATGGCTGTGGTCAGCCCACATATTCATGAGCTCTGGAGAGGGTTTCGATTCTCTCTGCGAGCCCTTCACCGGCCAGCTGACCTTTGGCCAAAACGAGCACGCTTCTCGATTCGCCGCATGGTTTTTCAAACAAACACACAGGCTTTGGGTACCAGCGGGGGATTGTTTTTGGTGAGCGCAGAGCAGTGTTTTTATATGCACATGCAGCGCGTCACTCACCTGCGTTCTTTCCGTTGTGTGTTTATTATCGACACATGCTCTGCTGAGGGTCTTTGGTGCTCTATATTTGTCATGTGTGCACATATAATCCTGATTCACACTCTAACACCTCTAACTATCTCGAACCAGCTAATTTTATGCATCATAAGCTTGCATTAACAACTGTGTTTCAGGAGACAGTATTAACATCCGTGGAAGCTATCCGTTGCACTGAAGGTTGTTTATAAGTTTCTTTAGATTATCAGAAAAAAAAATGGTAACACTTTAGTATAGGGACCAATTCTCACTTTTAACTAGCTTATTAGCATGTAACATATTGGTTGTTTATTAGTGCTTGTAAATCACATATTCTGCATGTCCATATTCTACATCCCTAATCTTACCCAATACCCAAACTTAATAACTACCTTAAGTATTAATTAGGAATTCAAATTAGGAATTTACTGTGGTAAATGGTTTGGTAATAGCGAGAACTGGACCTTAAAATAAAGTGTGACCGGAAAAATTAAGAACTGTTTGCTTAAAGGTTCTTTGAGGAACCAAAATGGTTCTTCTGTGGCATCGCTGTGAAAACACCCTATTGCAACCTTTATTTTGAAGAGTGTAGTGTGTAATGTAGCTGTCAGACATTAAAAGAATGGCACATTTCTGAATAAAGCATGTGTAAATTCCTGAATTGAATGAGTATTGAGGCAGAAGGGCTGTGTTATAGTGCAAGCGCTGTGGTCTCAGCGTGTCTTGATGGTAGGGTCACTTTCAGCGCTCTCACACCCTGCGGCAGTGACCGAGCCGCCCGGCGTCGCTTATCCGTCCCCCAGTTCTCACTGAGTTAACCTTGGCATCCTGGCTGCGTCGTGACAGCAGGTTTAAAAATAAACCCAGCTCCTTTAGTGTGCTGGGGATAATGGCCCTCCAACGCATGCCGCAAGGGGGGTCTCGCACACACACACACACACGCTCACTCAGAGGAGACCACAGAGGAAGCAGTGATGCTATAGACAGCAGGGCTCGTCTGAAACAAATACTAACTTTAGCATGGCAGTTTTAGCATATTTACAAAGTTGCCGTCTTTTAAACATTAATTTGACCATTTAAAACTTTTACAAATAGAAAATGAACTTTTTGAAATATACTGTTTAAGCGTTATCACAGCATTTATTTTGAATTAGTTTTTATTTGTATATTTTCAGTTTTCATCTCTTTAGTTAAAGTTTTTTTTGTTGTTGTGTGTTTAAAATTTTTTTTTTAATTGGTCTATTGTATTGATTTTAATTAATTAATTAATTTAAATTTTAGTTATGTTAGTGAATCAACTCAATGAAAATGGGAATTTTTTTCTTTGGTAACTAGCTGAAATAAAATAAGTTCGCTTTTTTAATATATATTTTTAGATTAATTATATTTTTAATATATTTTATTTTAGATTTTTTAAATGTATTTTCTATTTTAGTTATCATTTATTACATTTTATTTTTAATTTTATTTTTGTTGTTTTGTTTTAGTTTTAGTTAGCTGTAATAACCCTGCTCGCACGTAAAGCTGCACATGCAACTGAATGCAAATATGCATCTTAAGTCACTAACGTGTGGCCCGTCCGCAGCACTTGCTCTCTCTTTGCATCAATCCCACACACTGAGAGTAAACGATCCGAGCGCCGTGTCCTGATTTGCTCGGTAATCAAATGTTGCGGGGGGAAAATGCTAAGTCCGCTAATTTACACTTTGGAGAGGAGGGGAGAAAAAACGTGAGGCCGAATGTCCGCGGGGCGGCACGCAGGCGTTTATCAGAGAATGGTATTGGTATTGAGCGGCCAGTCGTTTGAAGGTTATGTTTCTGAGCAGTAATTGAAATGCAAAATAACATTAGGATCGATGGTTAGCTCTGTTTATTTATGAAATCAATATTGAAACGGTCTGTCACCATTGCAGCTCTGATTCCAGCTGACAGCCAAACTGAGTGTGCCACGGCTGAGACGGTCATTGCCTGCACTGCGGGCAGGAGCGGAAGCGCCAGGAAATGGGTGGGATTTAGGAGAGGAAATGATGTCGCCACAGGTGTGTGAGATGCACAGCGGTCTTTTAGGATTCTGTAGTTTGTGACTGGATCTTCTGTCCCTGTGCGTTGGATTTGCATGCATATCTATTAACAAAACAAAAGTATTTTATATAAAAGCTTGGGGTTGGTAAGATTTTAAAATGTTTTTCAAAGAAGCCTCTTCTGCTCACCAAGGCTGCATTTATTATATCAAAAATACAGTAAAAATTGTGAAATATTTTTGCAATGTAAAACAGCTGTTTTCTATGTGAATCTCTGTTA